CGGGAGCGGGATCGAAAGGCGATAGGCGGGATTGGGATCGGGCTCCAGCACAACAATATATGTGTTGAGAAGAAAATAAATTTATAACTCTTTGAGTTACTTGAGCAATTCATAAGTAACTTGGGCCACTAGAAAGAAAGCATTAAATGCCACTTTACAACTTTAACTTCAAGGAAATCAGAGCATTGTTGAATCATGTGAAGTATAGGGTTCTGCTGAAGAACCTAAACTTCAGAATGTGAAAACTAGGGTTAGAACTTCTTCTTTTATAAAATTTTCTCAAGCGTGGAGAGTTATAGGTAAAAAGCTCAATCCACAAAACCTCATAAATTTCAATTTCCTGACGTAATCACATAATAAACTAAGACAACTACATTGTCTACAGTGCTCGTATTTCTCTTCCTAACTCTGTCGTGGAGCGGCAGCAGCATCAAATGACTTAAATCGCGAATACAACATTACTTTGATTTTCTTGAGCATTAGAAATTTGTGCATCCATCCATATCAACATTGGAACGGCAAACATCTCCTCCCGCCCCATGAGTTGTGACCATTATTTAAAGCATCTTTTCACAATTCCTGTAATATTGGAATCATGAGCTCTATGGATTTCCAATCACTCTCATGCTGGGCGAAGCCGGAGCTCCCATGTGCGGCGTGCCGCCTTCTCCACCGCCGTTGCACCACAGACTGCATGCTGGCGCCATACTTTCCTTCAGACAACTCCGACAAATTTGCCGTCGTGCACAAGGTGTTCGGGGCAACTAATGTGATCAAGATGCTTCATGTGAGCTAATCTCTTCTCATCATTCATCAACTTCAAAATATAAAAAATTTGCTATCTGCCGTCTTTAAATAGGATAACATACATTTAAGGATATTCAATAATTGCTCGCTAGTCATACAATCAGTTTTCATGAACTGTAAATTGTAGCCCACATAAAATTAGTCTATTGGATCTTGTAGATGATCGAGGGAGAACGGAGAGAGGATGCGGTAAAAAGCATGATATGCGAGGGTTAGAGATCCAGTCCATGGGTGCACCACTGCAATTTTCAACTTGCAGAGTTGCATTGAAGAGCTACAAGAACAAATTCAAGGCGCAGAGAGGTTACTGCTGGAGTCACAGGAGCAGAAAAACCAACTGCTGTGTTTTCTAAATCAGCCGTTCGCTCCACCATACGAGGAAATGAGTGGCTGCGGTGGCGTCGAGAATGGCTTATTTGGAGATAGCTTAATGTTCATGGATCGTGCTTATGGATTTGACTCTGATTAGCGCTGAATTTCTTAAAAGAAGAATCAAAGTAGCTGTCTATATTTCTCGGTCCTTACTCATAAAGTTCCATGCAAACATTAACATCCGAGGTTGCTACAGAGAGCGGCCATCTATGTCTAAATGGAAAATATAATTGAAGTTGCAAAACAATCCCATGCTAACTTTGACTTGTATTTGCTTTTCCGGCAATTTAGTTATGCAATAAAGTCAACTGGCAAAACAATCCCATGCTAACATAATTTAAGGGAATGCTTGAAGAAAAATTAAGGGAAGAAGAAAACTTTGAGTATGAGAATGAGAATGAAGTAAAAAACGAGAATTTAGATTATGTTCAAAAAAAATTTGAGATTTTGGATCTTACGGAAATGATAATAAAAATCTTATTCCTTCGAGTATTAAACCACCTGAATTTGAACTGAAAGTATTACTTGCACATTTAAAATATGTGTTTTTAGAAGATTCATTTACATTATCTGTTATTATATCTTCTGATTTAATTGAATTTCAAGAGCAAAAAGTAGTGGAAACTTTGAAAAGATATAAGAAGGCCTTTGGATGGACTTTAGCGGACATTAAAGGAATCAATTCTTCAATTTGCATGCACAGAATTCTATTGAATGAACAATATGAACGTAAAGCTGATCATCAAGGAGATTAAAACTGATAATGCAAGAAGTTGTTAAAAAGGAAAGCTTAAAGTGGTTAGATGCTGGAATTATATATCCTATTTAAGACAGTGCTTGGGTAAGCCCAATTCACAGTGTTCCAAAGAAAGGAGGAGTGACCGTTGAAGTAAATGAGAAAAATGAATTAATTCCAACAAGATAAGTTACTGGTTGGTGAATGAATTTGTATAGATTAAAATTAAATATGACCACTAGGAAAGTAAATTCCAGCCAGTAGGAAAGATCACTTTCCATTACCATTTCTAGACCAAATGTTGGATAGATTGACAAGGAATAAGTATTATTATTTTTTATATGGAAAACTAAAATATTACTACTTTATTGATGGATATACTGGGTATCATCAAATTCCGATTGCTCTCGAAGATCAAGAAAAGACAACGTTTATAAACCCTTATGGAACATTTGCTTTTCTTAGAATGTCTTTTGGACTATGTAACACATCTGCAACATTTCAAAGATGTATGATGTCAATTTTTTGTAATTTAATTGAACGTGAAATAGAAGCATTTATGGATGATTTTTCACTATTTGGAACTTCGTTTGAATTATGTTTAAATAATTTAGAAAAAATTCTGGAAAATGTGAAAAAGTAAATTTAGTATTAAATTGAAAAATGTCAATTTATGGTTGAAGGATGAATTGTACTTGGGCATAAATTTTTGAAAATGGCATGAAACTAGATCTGGCAAAAATTCAAGTTATTACAAAATTACCGCCTCCTACTATGGTTAGAGGGGTAAAAAGTTTTCAAGGACATGTTGATTTCTACAGACGTTATATAAAAAAAAAATTTCAAAAATTACTAAACCATTATATCAAGTTTTAGAAAAGGATGCAAAATTTAATTTTAATGAGGAATGCTTAAAAACATTTGAATTATTAAAGAAAAATTAATCACAACTCCTATAATAGTTCTACTTGATTGAAGAAACCATTTGAAATAATGTATAATACTAATGATTATGTCAATGGAGCTGTTTCAGGGCAAAGGTATGCAAAAGTTTTTAAAGTAATATATTATGCTAGTAAAACTCTAAATGATGCTCAAATTAATTATACCACTACTGAAAGAGAGTTATTAGCTATTGTTTATGCTTTTGATAAGTTTATACCTTACTTATTTAGAGCTAAATGTATAATGCATACAAAACATTTTGCTATCAAATATTTGATGCAAAAGATAAATGCTAAACTGAGATTAATTAGATGGATACTTCTGTTGCAAGAGT